CCCGCCTCCCCGCCGGCCGGCTCGGCGGAGCTCCGCGAGGGCCTAGGTGACCGGCGATGGCCGAGGACCCCAGGGCGGGCGCCCGGAGGGGAAACGCAGGCCGAGGTGGCATCTGCGGGGCGGGGGGGCTCGGCCTCCTCCTTCCCGCCGGGTGTGCGCGGCCCCGCTAGGCCGGCCGCCCGGAGGCCCGCCCACCCCGCACCGGGTCCGCTCCGAATTCACCCCCTTTACAGGGGTCCCCAACCCATGGTGGGTTGTATGATTATTTCAGTATATGTTACAATGTAATAATAATAGAAATAAAGTGCACAATAAATGTAATGACTTGAATCGTCCGGAACCCATCCTCCCCCACCCCTCATCCCCGGTCCGTGGAAAAATCATCTTCCGTGAAAACGGTCCCTGGTGCTGAAAAGGTTGGGGACTGCTGCGGGCATTTATCCCCTCCAGCTCTCAGAGCCGGGCGAGGCAGCCTCGTTAACCCCATTTTACTGACGAGCATACTGGGGCGCAGAGAGGTCCTGTGGCAGCCAGGACCTAAACCCAGCTTTGACTAGAGTCCTACTGCCTGACACCGCGCCCTCGGCCCCCTTGCAGAGCGGTTCCCAAGTTCCCAGCGCCCTCCTACCCGATGCTCACCGGTCCCAAGAACCCGAGCTCCGGCACACACACAGCGCGCGGTTACGCGGCTGCGTCCATTCTTCGGGCGAGGAAACTGACGCTCGGGACCGAGCCGTGGCGGAGACCTCCCTCAGATCGCTGCAGGACCCCCGTCCCCTCTCGCATTCCCTTCTTTTAATCTGCTCTTCCTTTTTTGTTTTCACCTCTTCCTTCCAACCTCTCTCGACTCCGGCTCGGGGCTCCCCTTGAGAAGCCCTTCCCAGAAGCTTCGGTGGCCTTGACCTCGCCACCCGGCCCGAGGACCCCCTTCGCCCTCGGTGTGTCTGCGGCGCCCTCTGCAGGTGATCGGGGGCTGGCGCAGGCCTGTCACCGGACGGGCTTTACCTCGAGGGGCAGTGTGGCCACCAACAAGTTGGCCTTAGCCCCAGGGCTGGTCCTTAGAGGGCTCCGTTGACTCTAGTCTTCAGCCTCGGGACCCTCGGGAGGTCCCCCCACCTACAAACAAAAGCCTCTCTTCTGAGATGACGGACACCTGGCATCGTGTAGTCTGAACGCCACGAGAACCGGCACCAGATAAGATGAACACAACTTTTCAGCGCAAAGAGACGTTTCAGATTACTAACTGAATCTTAATATGTTGCAGAGGAAGAAACTGAGACTCCAAGAGCAGAAATGCTTTGCTCCAATGCCACACAGCGGGAAAGAAGCAGAGCTGTGACTAGAAGCCGGGCCCCGCCCCAAGGCCACGGGGTGGAGGAGCTACCCTCAGCCTTTCTCCTCCCTCGGCCACGCCAGTGACATACTCAGAGTGGCCCAGTCGGACTCAAGCTCTCTTGGGTCTGGGGTGAGGGGCTTATTTCCCAGGGAAGTGGGAAGAAGAAACATGGCAAAAAGCAGAAAGAAAATAGACACAGATGAAAATATAGGGCTCCAGGAAGGAAATGGAGGGTCTGAGGTGGGAGGGTGAAGGGCTGAAAGAAGACCGTGAATGAAAAGGATCCCGCCTTTGATTCACTTTTCCTTTCCTGCCCTGTAGGGTCTCTCTTGTCATCTCCATGCCCGGCCAGGACAACAGGCATAACCCGGGTGTAATCCAGGACTGGGCCATATGGTCCCCTACAGCTGAGCCCTGGATGTAGATGCCACATCTGCTGCGGCTCCTCTTCCTCAGCATGGCTACTCGCTCTGCATCCAACTTCCAGCCCTGCCCTTCACCCCCAGCAAGGCATTCACAGCCGCTTCCATTTCCGCAACCACACCGGATCTTGGTTCTCTTTTATTTTCTGTCCCAGCTGAGGACATCACATTTTACCTGGGAATCTTCTCCCTAACCCTTGCACCCAACTACTCACCAGGGCCTGGCAATTCTGCTTCCACCATGTGTCATGGAGCCCCTGCCTCCTCTTCAGAGAAGCTACTGTCACAGCAGAAACCCTGCAAACCTGGGTTCTGGCTGAGTTAGGGACAACACAAGTGTGAGACATCAGGTCGGGCCACCCAACTAAATGGAGCTATCTCCTCACTGTTGCAGAACGTTCCAGAGCCTCTCCATGGCTTCTTACCTGTTGGTGAATCCCCAGGGACCTGACACAAGTGCCCAGACACATACATTACCTTGATTTGCTGAAGGCCCAGGAACCCTGCAGGAAGGAATTCAGCTTCATGTGGAGTCAGAAACGCTTAGATCTTTCCTTGGACTGAGATTACTGGAAGAAGGTTGGTTGGAAGGAGCCAGGAAAGCTGCCCGCAGAGGCTGGGCTTGTATGTAAAATACCTCATCCCATCCATCTAGGGGTAGGGATGGCCTTTTCTGGGCTCACAAACTGAGGGAGGCCAAGGAACATTTGGGTAAGCACCTCTGAGAATTCTAGGGAATATTGTATTTAACTTTTCATTTCAGGAAATTCTAGACGCGAGGCAGGAGGATAGCTTGAGCTCAGGAGTTTGAGACCAGCCTGAGCAAGAGTGAGACCCCATCTCTACTAAAAATGGAAAAATTACCCAGGCATGGCGATGTGCACCTATAGTCCCAGGTACTTGGGAGGCTGAGGCAGAAGGATGGCTTGAGCCCGGGAGTTTGAGGTTGCAGTGAGCTACAGTGACGCCATTGCACTCTACCCAGGAAGACAGAGTGAGACTCTGTCTCCAAAAAAAAAAGAAAAAAGAAAACTCTAGACATAAACATAACTAGAGATAATAGCATTATGAATTCCCATGTACTCGTCTCCCAGCTTCAATGCTTATCAGCCCACAGCTGATTTTGTTTCTATATACCTGCTTACTCTCCCCTCATAAAATTTTTTAAAAAACAGTTTTATTGAGCTATAATTCACATATTATACAATTCATTCATTTAAATATTTTTAGTATATTCATTGTATTGTACAACCATCATCACAATTTAATTTTCAAACATGTTCATGTCCCCAAAAGAAAACTGTACCCATGAGCAGTCAACTCCTTTCCCCACCCATCCCCCAGCCCTAAACAACCACTAATCTACTTTCTGCTTCTATAAATTTGTGGATTCCATACATTTTAATATAAATGGAATAATAAAACATGCGGCCTTCTGCGGTTGGCTTTTTTCACTTAGCATAAGTTTTCAAGGTTCATTCAGGTGTCAGTGCTTTATTCTTTTTTATTTCGGAATAACATCCCATAATACGCATATATATTTTATTGATCAGTTCATCCGTTAATGGACATCTGGGTGGTTTGCACTTTTTTGGCCATGGGTGTCACGAACAATGCTGCTGTGAACCTTTGTGTACAAGTTTCCGTGGGACATTTGTTTTCATTTCTCTACCCAGGGGTGGAATTGCTGGATCCTATGGTAACTCTATGTGTAACTCTTTTTTTGGACTAGTCAGGCGCAGTGGTGAGAAAGGGGAAAGAGTTGAACAAGGAGTTCGATCTGTAACTGACTGGACAATCGATTGAGAGAACTCACTGCTTGTGCACCAGCCTCCATGTTTAACTTTTTGAGGAACTGCCAAACCGTTTTCTGGAGTGGCTGTGCCATTTGACATTCCCACCTGCTGTCTATCTTTTGGATAATGGCCATCTTAGTGGGTATGAATTAGTATCTCATTGTGGGGTTTTTGTTTTGTCTTGCTTTTTAAAGGGTCTTGCATTGTCACACAGGTTGGAGTGCAGTGGTGTGATCACAGCTCACAGCAACCTCAAACTCCTGGGCTCAAGCGATCCTTTTGCCTCAGCCTCCTAAGTAGCTGGGACTACAGGCATGCGCCACCACACCCAGCTAATTTTTTTATTTTTTGAAGAGACAGAGTCTTGCTTATGTTGCCCAGGCTGGTCTTGAACTCCTGAGCTCAAGTGATCCTCCCACCTCAGCCTCCCAGAGTGCTGGGATTACAAGCATGAGGCACCTCACTTGTCCTCATTGTGGTTTTGATTTACATTTTCCCTAATGACTAACACTGCTGAGTATCTTTTCATGTGTTTATTGGACATCTATCTTCCTTAAGGAAATGCCTGTTGAAGTCCTTTGCCCATTTTAAAATTGAGTTATTTGTCTTTTTATTATTGAGTTGCAAAAGTTCTTTGTATATTCTAGATAAAGACCTTTATAGAGATAGGACTTAGGAATATTTTCTTCCCTTCTGGGAGTTGTCTTTTCACTTGAGTTATTGTTTTCAGCACAAATGTTTTGATTTTGATATAATCCAATTTATCTATTCTTTCTTTATTAGTTTTTTTGGTGTCATATCTAACAAATCATTGTCTAACCTAAGTTTACAAAGCATTACTCCTATGTTCTCTTCTAAAAGTGTTACAGTTTTAGCTCTTACATTTAGGTCTATGATCCATTTTGAGTTTATTTTTGCATATGGTGTGAGGAAGGAGTCCATCTTCATTCTTTTGCATCTTGATATCCAGTTGTCCCAGCACCATTTGTTGAAAATACTATTCTTTCTCCCATTTAATTTTCTTGGTACACTTGTCAGAAACAATTGAGGTCGGACACAGTGGCTCACAGCTGTAATCCTAGCACTTTGGAAGGCCGAGGTGGAAGGATCTCTTGAGCCCAGGGGTTCAAGATAAGCCTGGCAAATAAGTCCTGGTCTCTACAGATTTTTTTTAAAAAATTAGCCAGGTGTGGTGGCATGTGTCTGTAGTCCCAACTACTCAGGAGGCTGAGGCAAGAGGATCACCTGAGTCCAG